ACATGTATATTGTGTGTGTGAACCCAGCCTTGTCTTAACCGCTCAGTCTTTTCCCCCTCAGTGAAAAAAGTGGAAGCTGATTGCTACTCAGTCTGGTTCTCTAACACTGCACGTCTTCAGCTGCTGTTGGCGTTTTGTGCAGTTCAGCACAACAGCAAAAGTGGCATCAGTTATAAAAGGCAAAAAGAGAAAGATAGTGTGAGTCTTCCAGAGCCTGAGATAATTTAAAACATTTAACAAACCTTTTCTGAGGAGCAGCACCAACTGTACCATCCATTGTGCATCAAGCAGTTGACTCAAGCTCGGTTGCGTTCTGGAAATTCATTTCTGTGTTTGATGATTATAACTCCCAGCCACAATGCTGTCCTCAGCAACTCGTTGTATCCCAGCTATGACTTTGGTGGAGATATGAGATCCAAATCAATATTCACCTGCTATATCTCAGGACATATAGGGGAGGTTTCTTTCACCTTGCAGTTCATTGTTGTTGCGGCTACATTGTGATAAATATGATTGTTAGCCATGTCAGTCCTGGCGGGTTGGTGGCTGTTTGGGGATGTGAGATAGGCCTCAAAGGTTCGACTAGAAAAATACATTTCTTTCATGATTCTCGACATGAAAGTGAGCGTTTGTGATTGAGGACCACTTCCTGGTCATTTTCTCATGTTACAATGTGGCAGTATCTCAAGGTGAAAAGAAGCCCCAGCCAATAACCCTTCATTCAGTGCTCGCATCAGCGACCCAGATTTGGATTCTGTGCCAAAGAAGGCAAGCTGATTTTTTGTCATGGGTGACCTAAAAAACTAGGCAAGCTTGATAAATTCTTCAGAAATGAAGAGAAAGCATGAGCATCCTATGAGACCCGTTTAACATACAGTCCTGGGACTTGAGTTGTAGTTGTAGTCAATGAATATTTACAGCTTTTACACACCAAGTGGGGCAGCCTGCCTCATTATTCACTTTGTTTGTTGTTGACTTACCAGAAGGATGCTGTGTTGTCTGTTCACACTGCTGCCATTATCTACTGACAGTTCACAAATCTTTTTTTAAATAAAATCTCTGACTTCTTAATAATTTACAGTAGCACTGACATTGTAAACACTAATAACACTTCTCTTTCTTTTATGCCAAACAAAGGTCATTTTCTCTTCAGAACAGCTTCAGACAACCACTGCTGAATGCTTTCCAAGTCAGAGTTTTCTGTTCTGATTTATCTTGGACCTGCCATATGATTACATTTGTCAGCGTGGGTCCCTGGCTGAATTTGAAAGAAATCCAGACTTCTGCATAAGTTATCTCCACAGACAGAAACTCTGCTCATCAGTCTCTCAACCGACCAAAGTAAGACTTGTGTCTAAAAGACGGGAGACAGTAGGAGGAAAAGATAATACTGGTAAAGTAATCATCCATTCAGGATTTTATTTAACAGGGGTGTCCAAATGCAGTCAAGATCAGTGATAACTGATAGACCGCTTTAATAAGACAGACCTTTACATGCCATGTTGGGCTGGGGGCATCTAGTAGTTTACAGGGTTTGCCCTGACTGGACCATCATGGTATTACTCTGATATTGTTTAACTTTCTGGATGTCATTTGTGTGAAATATATCTGTTCTCTTGATTTACTCTGGGATTATTCTCAACTTACACAACATAGCACTGAAAAATGAAGCAGCACCTACAGTAGGGAGATCCTGGAAAACTTTACAAAGACGGAGGGAGTTCCTGCTGCTTGAACTCTTTGGAAGTATGATGATTTTTACATTAAACTAATGTGAAAATCAGAGATGTACAGTATGAGAGGCATGACTTATGTAAAGAGGCACTAAAGCGAATTTTAGGTTCCTTAGATGTCTCTGTTTGCTTTGGACTGTACACATAAAGGAGTTTATTTTTGCTTAAGGAAGGTTTGCACATATCACTCCCATGAATTTTAGCTGCAAGTTGTCAGTGTTAAAGACTTGTTTTAACTAGACTGTTCTCACTACAGAAAAGATAGCGTTAGTCATTTGGGACCTATCTTAAAGTAACCTATCTTAATGTTTTCTTGTGTTAATTACAAGCAGCCTTGTAAAGCTCGCAGTCCGTGTGCGTTTTTGGGCTACACATAAACAAACATATTTGGTGGTCTTTTTGATACATTCTTGTAGCAGTAAATTTTTTCATTAAACAGATAAGGATTTTGTTAGTAGTTCATATAGTTTTCTTTTGGACTGACTAACCAGCTTGTTTGATGCTCAGGTAGGCCAGTTCAGTTGTTGAGATCTGGGTGAGGTGATAACATTTACTTGTATCTTTGGAGAATCAGAATTTAAACCTTATGTAAGGGATAGATCATAAAACATCATATGAACCATTTTTGTAGTAGTCAAATGCATTTTGGAAGGCTCTGAAAAACTGTGTCATGTCAACAGAGGTGCCTGATCAGAAAACGCTCATATGAGTGACTGTGATGGTGAATACAAAGGTATGGGTTTGGGTAAAGATTAGGGTTCAGGTGAAGGGTTAGGGTCAAAGTTTTGGTTTAGGGATGGCAGTCTGGCACATGCCTTCACTTTAATCCTGAAGCAATAACACAAAAACATTTATGACAATGAGAGGTCCACTCATTTTTGAAAGATATCCTACCTGGATCTTTAAAGCATTTCCAGCTCTTCACTGTGAGGGGTCTAGTGTTTATTTTAGTGTTTCCCTGGCACTGTTTTACAACAGGGTACTTTAGATTAGTTGCACCAAATACGTATGTGCCAGTAGGTTTACCCTGGTACAGTTCTTCTCACATTCAACCACAAGGCAGCCAAAAAACACTCTTACTATTTGAGACGCTAACTATAGTGCAAAACCAAGTGAGGGAAGAACAAAGCAAAGCAGTCAGATTGTATCAAGTCCATGTCCACACTGCCAGCAGCCAGCTACATTAGCATAGTGCCATGGCCACAGCGTGTCCACGAAGCAAGTCTAAACAGAAGGATCAACTCTGTGTTTCTCAGGGTCTTACTCAGATTCTCCTATTGTTATTGTTGTGCTTCATTTTAAAGACTAGTTGTTGGCAGCTAAGAAGGGAAAATGTCAACCCAAACTATTTCTCAGACTCTGTGGAAGCTTCCTCTCTTAATCTATTTTTGAATAATGCTGAGTTTTGCCAGAGTCACAGACTGTCACACAAAGCCCACTTTGGTCTCTCGGGGTTGCCTCGCTCAGAGGTCCATGTGGAGAGCAGCCAGTCCCCAAAGTGAGAAAGCCAACCAGCCGCCCAAAACTAAAACCTTAGCACCAACTCAAAGCAATTTTCTGGCTATTTTGTGATTTTAATCCCTAGTTTGTGATGCTTGGACACAGTGGAGTGACTGTATTGGTGTGTGTGGACGTGCATGTCTGACATTGCTTTTTATCAAATGAAGAATGAGAAGGGGGTCTTTGGACCCCTGAGGACCCAGATCCATAGTGTTCTCATCAGCGAGCTACATTAGCACTTTTACAGTCTACCCATCATGGAAGCGCTCATCCCTGCGTGTCTAATCAGAGGGCTGGGGAGGCCTGGGAACAGTGGGGGTTGAAGCCTTGGGATTTCTCCGAGCTGAGCTTATCTGTCTGCTTACTCAGTCACACATCAGGCCAGGGTGAGGACTGAGCACCTCTTCTGTGAATGTCACTTGCTGTCTCCCTGCTCCTGCACATATTAGAATCAGAATCAGCTTTAGTGGCCAGGTATGTTGAACACACAAGGAATTTGACTCTCAAACAAGAAAAGGAATGTTCCTATTTGCTGGGCATATTAAAAATGGCCAGAAAAGATGCAGTGTGCTTTCACTCCTCAGTTTGAGTAAGTCAGGTGTAGTGGAGGAAATTAATCCCCTTCATACACATTCCATCTCGGGGCTGGAGAATGCTGTCTGCAGTCATGCATTTTCATGTCTGCTTATCCAGACGTTTCTATGTTGGCTGGTAACAGCTGTTGTTAACCTTTCCAAGGCACACAATGGTTTTATTAGAAATAGGAAATAATCGGTGTCATCATCTCTGACAAGATGGGCTAAAAGGTACTGAGACCTACACTTTGAAATACAAGAAGCCTATTGGCGTGTATAGAATCTACATTCAGAATGTTGTTTTCAGTACTGACAGGCCAGGAATTTTGTGTTTCATGTCTTACCACATTTTCACCACCCTTTCTGGATATTTAATCTACCACACCCAGAATTACATACAGCAACCTGAATATTTAATCTAACACTGAGCTCAAACAGCAGGTAATAACATGAGGTTTTAAGGCTGGCTTTTATGTGACTACCTCAGCACATCTTTCCAGCAGACCTTTTAAAGGAATCATGCCTCAGAAGGTTAAGAGCAACAAGAATCATGTTACAGCACTAGACGAAGCCCAGTAGCCGTAAGGAGAGCAGTCCGGGAATGTTGACCTACTGGTTTGTGGGTAGCAGGGAAGTTTGTGCAGACCTTTGTTCTTTACAAGAACCCCACAGATGGCAGGCGCAGTTATTATTCTCTCAGTCTGAGTTGTGGTCTGCACTGCAAAGTAAAGAGGAGGCTCCGTGCAGGTGTTGCAGGGCTCTTTGTGGCACCTTTCTCAACACTGTGACAAGAAAAAGCAGATCCCCAAGGACACGCGCTGCCCCTGCCGTAGTTGCTGGTCGCACTACTGAGTGTCTACTGTACTTTACTGAGAGCAGAGGGGTTAAATGGGCAGAGGCAGCAGCAAGACAGGAAGTGGCCTTTTGTTAGGGGCAACAGAAGAAAGGTAATTGCTTTTTTAGTGGGATACTGTATTTCACCTCAGATACAGTATGGCCACTGGTGGGGATGTATTGTAAGTGTGTGTGTGTGTGTGTTCACACAATTATGTGAATTCCTCTGTGCTATTTGTGGTTATTAGGTACTTAAAAAAAACTATGAGACAAAGAAATGTGTCCTGAGAGTAAATTCTTTGTCAAAATGAATCTTCCTCATTGTTTCCTTCGGTCTGTACTTTTATTTACTTTGTAGGTCTGAAGAGAGAAACACAAATTTGATACCTGAGTAGCTGCTACATCATCAGAAGCCACAAAGCGAGGGCGTCATCATGTGGATGAAAGGTTTTCTTTTAGGCTGCGTGACTGTGGCCTTACTGCTTCAGCTCTCCAAGGCTGGCCTGGTGAAGAAAGTCATCCGCCATCGCAGAGAGGCCCTAGTGCCCAAGAAAACCCAAGAAAACCTCACCCTACCCCACCCAGACCAGCCAGTCGTGTTCAACCACGTCTACAACATCAATGTCCCCTCTACGTCCCTCTGCTCCGTGGACCTGGATTCACCTGGAGGCACTGAGCTCAAACATAAGAGCGCCCCAGTGGATATGCAGAGCAGGGAGCATATGGAGCACATGGTGGATGGTGACAATCAGATCATTTTCACCCACCGCATCAGTATCCCCAAGCAGGCGTGTGGTTGTGACAACCAGCTGCCAGACATGAAAGACATCCTGAACAGGCTGGAGATGCTGGAGTCAGAGCTGTCTAGTCTGAGGGAGCAGTGCAGCAGTGGGGCAGGCTGCTGTGGAGCTCAAATTACAGGTATACCTTTTACTGTGTGTGCTGTACTGTAGTTAATGTGTTCTAAAGACAGTGGCAATGGCTCCGGTTTATGTAGCCAGTCTCCTGTGAAATCCAGTTCTAACATGCTTCCAGTAAATTACTGTATGTTTGAAAAAAGAATGGTCATGAATGATTATTTCAAATGAGGGAAGAAATACAGCACAATTTTAAAAGCCTCCCTGCGTAGTATTTTTATATTATAGCAATGGCTTTGCACATTATAGACCATAAACTACACATCTGCTGTATTATACATTACATTTGCTATATTTTACATTGCTGCCATTAGGAGGCATTGGTCATTATATGTGGGAAGGCTATCTCATGAGTTTGATTTAAATAATATCTGCATGCTTTCTTCTCTGTTTCAGTTGTTCCTCACCCAATGTCCCTCCCACTCTGTCTGTCAGCTGTATGCCTTGCTTGCTAGCACTCTTCCTTTCCAGTGGATTGGCCTTCCCATTCCCTAAACTAATAATAATAATAATGATTATGGTAATAATAAGAATAAGAATAAGAATAAAAACACTGCTCAAGAGAGAATATACAGCAGCAGAATGCCCACTAACTCCTTCAGCTGTTGACCAGTTTATCCAAACAGTTCAACAGTTCCAACACCAACACAAGATCTGCTGACAGCCTGAATGAAAACAAAAAATACATTAAATAATTCACACCTTATTAAAGCAGAATCTTGATTGAGGCTGTTGCATCATAAGTATCCACAACCTGTTCAGGTTTAATCATAGTTTTAATCTTAGTTATGTCGCCCTTAATATACAGAAGTGACAATGAAGAAAGTCTCTTGTGTCCAGTTGTTGTTCTCCTCCAGCTCTGAACCTGCCAAGTTGCCAGAAGAAGTCTCTCACATGTTGTTGTCCCCAGTGGCAGCCAATCTGAGAACCTTGGTGAAGTTTGGGTAAAACCCAGTCAAAACAGCAGCTTTAAGGCTTTCCAAAGGGACATTATCTGAATTCAGTCTTATCAAGGTCATTTCAGCATAGGCCAGGTCAGCAGTGATGGTGAGAGTTGAAAAATAATGTTTGGGACATTTGAGACAGCATCTACACTCCCTGCAATTTGCATTGTTTTATTTGAGAAATGTTTGTGAAAAGCTCCAATCATTGCATCAATTACAGGATAGAAGAGATGTCTAACCCATCTGTCTTTCAGGCTGTCAGCATCAGAGGCATGACACTCTGACTGTGCACTCAACAACACTGGAAGCTAATGCAGCTGGCTTCTGTATGGGGTGTTTGTGTCTAGTTGATTCCTTATCTGTGACAGATATGACTCACAGAGAGAGAGTATCTCCTGCCAGATACTTTCCCAGCAGTTTCTCATATCCATCAGTCCCTTCATGCTGACCTGTATAACTCTGGAAGCTTGAGCAAGAGTTGCATCACTATTTTGGATTGCCTGGGATGCAACATGTATGAGACTCAGTGTGTGGTGGAACACAATAAGACACATACAATTCTAGCCTTGTCACACAGTGAAGCAGACCAGGCTTCAGTAATCCTGTGATATGGGGGCACTGAAAACTCAGAAAGAGCAGTCATAATCGACCACTGAATTCCTCACAGCTACCACATTCTGACTCTTACATGCCCATGTTATGTCACTGTAGGCCAACATGTCTGTTTGCATGCTCAGCTGCTTTTTTTCTTTTCTATTCAATTTATATACATGCACTTTTTTCACTTTTTGATGCACTGGCAAAGCAAGTTTAGAAACGAGCAACTGCAAAACCACACTGTGTGTAACTCCACCAAAGAGAGAGAGACAGAGCCTGGGGATAAACTACATTCACTCTGTCATAAAAGTCCCAAGTCTCTTTAAGTGTATTCTTGGGCTGTATGTTGTGTATGTACACACTGATTTATTGAATGACTTTTAAATGACTTTGTCTTGCTCCAGGTGAGGTGTCCACAAAGCCTTATTGTAATGGCCGTGGGAACTGGAGCACTGATACCTGCAGTTGTGCATGTGAACCTGGATGGAAAGGCTTGAACTGCACTGAACCTGAGTGTCCTAATGACTGCCAAGACCAGGGTCGCTGTGTAGATGGCAAGTGTGAATGCTTTGAGGGCTTTGGTGGGGATGACTGCAGTATTCAGCTCTGCTTGCTGGACTGTGGTGACAATGGCCATTGTGTCGACGGGTCCTGTCTCTGTGATGAGGGCTTCATCGGGGAGGACTGCTCCCAGACCAACTGCCCCAACAACTGTCTGGGCCGTGGACACTGTGTAGAGGATGAGTGTGTTTGTGACGAGCCATGGACGGGCTACGACTGCTCTGAACTTATCTGTCCGAATGACTGTTATGACCGCGGACGCTGCATCAACGGCACCTGCTACTGTGAAGAGGGCTACAGTGGGGAAGACTGCGGCGATCTCACTTGTCCTGGCAACTGTAACAACCGTGGCACGTGTATGAATGGCCAGTGTGTGTGTCAGGCTGGCTACAGTGGAGAAGACTGCTCAAAGCTCACCTGTCCCAAAAACTGCAATGAAAGAGGCCATTGCTTCAATGGAAAGTGCATCTGTGATCCAGGATTTGAAGGTGAAGATTGCTCTATCCTGTCATGCCCTGAGAACTGCAGCAACAAGGGCCAGTGCATCAATGGAGAATGTTTATGTGACATAGGATACCAAGGTGAAGATTGTAGTGAGCTGTCCTGCCCCAATAATTGCCAAGACCGGGGCCAGTGTGTTAATGGGCATTGCATATGCGACAAGGGTTATACTGGGGAGGACTGCAGTATCAAGACTTGTCCCAAAGACTGCATGGGACATGGAGAGTGTGTGCATGGCAAGTGTGTGTGCTTCACAGGCTTCAGAGGTAATGACTGCAGTGAGATGACCTGTCCCAATGACTGCCTGGACCGTGGCCACTGCTTGAACGGACAGTGCGTATGTAATAAGGGTTTCACTGGTGAGGACTGCAGTGAGAAGACATGTCCCAAAAACTGTCTAGACAACGGTTACTGCGTTGATGGCAACTGTGTGTGTTATGAGGGTTTCACTGGACCAGACTGCTCCATACTGACCTGCCCAGGGGACTGCCAGAACCAGGGACGCTGTCAGGACGGTGTGTGTGTCTGTGATGATGGCTTCATCGGAAAGGACTGCTCTGAGGGTAAGAATGACCAGGCAAACATACAGTACAGCTTTCAACAGCTTTGTCACAGAATTTAATTAGAAAATAATTCTTAGGCTACAGTCTACATGATTTTACTCCATGCAGTTTGCCACAATTTGTTTTTAATTTATTACTGGTAGGTAGAGAAAATTTCAAATTCTACTAATTTACTTAAATCTACAATAACAATTTTTGGACACCTGGGGATGCAGTAAGGTTGGTATTGCTAATCCAGCTGACACTGAGCAACTGTAACATTCATTCTGAGTCTTGTCTGCCAATCTGATCCAAGTGTACAGTGGGTTTATCAGCACCTTTTCACAGAAATCTGCTGCCTGCTGCTGATAAAATGGAACTAAACTGTGAAGTTGGCTGCCATATAACAAAACAAGCTGAATGAGGCTAAGCTGCTTTATAGAGCTAACAGAAACTGCAGAGTTGGCTGATCATTGTCTGTGGATTAAAACTTTCACATTATACAAAGTCTTTTGACCCAATATTCATTTAAAACTATTCATTATTGTGGCTTTTTGAATGTAACAACCTACGCAAAGACACCCACATGCCATGATTTCACACAGACATAATTTGGGAGACTGTGTAGCTCATGCTACATCTCCTGTGTTCAGAGCAGCGCATTAGCAGAAGAGTAGCAGCTTCACTTCTTTGTCTGGGTACAGACAAGATGGCAGACTTCTGACCTGGACAGGAAGCTGGCGATATTAGCCAGAAGCTGTTCACCTTGGCCGGTTTACTGATATGCTTACAGTTGGGTTACTGACAACAACCTAAAAAGTACACACAAGTTAAAGGATACACAACTAATGAGGATGACCTCATACAAGCATGAAAAAAATGGTTAAGGAATGAGAATGTGGACAGAGACTAAAAGAGAGCCAAGCTTAGTTGTCCAGCAAATCAAAACAGCAATAGAAATTCATCTGCTAAGACATAGTCAGGTAAGTTTAATATGCTCATTGACTTCCAGCTCAGTGCTGTCTGAGAAATTGACAGGTGGTTTTCTAAGGTGATAAAAAGAAAAGGGGATAAGACACTGCTGAGGTGATCCAATATATGTTGCTGTACTTCCACAAAAACAGCCATTCACTGGAGCCCTCTGCTACCTCTTAGTCAGAGAATCTAAAATCCGTAAAACAAGTGAAAAGGTGTGTCTGAATGTTCAGGAAGGGGTGGCATGAGTTTCACACAGACAGAGAAATTGGAGCATTCAGGGAAGGAAGGAGAGAGAAACAGAGATAGCTAAAAGAACCTAACAAATTTAAAACACACTTTTTAAGTTAAAACTGTCAAAAGTAATTGGCAAAATATTGGGACCCTTAGTCTAATGTTTGGTAGCACAGCCTTGTAACACAACCACTGCAATCAATCACTGTGTGAGACTTCTCAGCTCTTATTGAGCAAAGCGCTGCAGTTCCCTCGGGCTTGATGGGTCTCTTCTCCAACTGTGAGTTTCAGCTCTTTCAATTGATCTTCACTGGGATTAAGATCAGGACTCTTAGCAGGTCTCGTCACAATGGTCTGTGTTTTTTTTTCTCATGTATTCTTGGTGCTTTTAGATGAAGGTTTTAGGTTATTATTCTGTTTGATGAAACATGAGCTGTGACTGAGACAAAGCTCTCTGACAATGGTCAGTGTGTTTTGCTCCAGAATGTCTGGATAATGCATGGATAATCATAAACACTGCCCCATAAATAAACATGCAGTTTAGGAAACTCCAGTCAGATATGTATATTTCTCTATCAAAAGCTGGCTCTTCCTTCATAGAGCCCAAGTTCATTCAGAGAGTAAGGGATGACTGAACACCTTGATTTGGAAGCTCAGCTTATATAAGGATAACAACTTTATTTGGCCAAGCATGTTACACACACAGAACTGGTACAGAACCGAGGCAGCCATCTGCGGCGCCAACTCACACCAATGGCTCTAACCATTGGGGGCAACTTGGGGGTTCAGTGTCTTGCCCAAGGATTTGACATGTGGAATGCAGGCACGTGATTTGAACCACCAACCCTCTGGTTAGGAGACTGTTGCTCTACCCACTGAACCACAGTCACCCCATATCTGTTATGAGGTTTTTCTTGGTTATTTCTCCACCATTCAAACTATCCTATTCAGTCTGGAATTAGTTTTCCTCCTGTTGTTCAGTGTGAGGCAAATATGGATCAACAGCTATGAGCAATTTAAGAGATATTTGTCTTGAACTGGAGAGGTAAAACTTTATGAGGGAGATTTTCTTTTGTCTTTGTTCTTTTGATTTTCAAATGTCTTCTGAATGACTGTTCATAGAGACAAAGATAAAGTAATGAAAACTTTGAGGCCTCTGTTTTCCTGCTAGAAAAATTCCTGTGAAAGTTCAGATACATTTATTCTGCAGTATTCCTCTGGTACTGTACTTCTATTGTTTGCACTATGTAGACCTATATGAATATGGTCAAACAGTGTTGATGGGCATCATAACGCATTGTCTGTTCTTACGGGATGCAGCCAGAGGTGATCTGCAGTCAGTGTCTGGGAATCACACACCAGGGACAAAATTCTTTACACACACATCCACATAACAACTACAAAGCAGCTTGAGAGCCAAGAAAAACAACACACATACTGTTACACAGCAGGTAAAGTCAGTCCGACCTCACTGTGGCTGCTGTCACTGTTAAGTTACAATTTCTTCAAACAAACAAGTTTCACACAGACATACCTTTCTTATTACTGTGATGATATATGTTGTGTTTTTGCATTTTATGGTGGTTTGATCAGCTTTGAAAACTGGCTGTGCACTCTAGCAGACCACAGTCAGTTTCACCAGAAATGCAATGATTACAATTGTATTATTTTGCAAACATGGAAACATTTGTAAGGTTACATGAGAGAGACCCGTGGATTTCAGACACTAATGCAGCTGTGAGTAAATGATGCTATATAATTTCTGCTGGTTACTGGACCAGGGACTTTCTTTCTTCTATGCACAAATGCTGGTCAGTGATATTAGCATTGAGTGAAAATTTATGTGCAGTACTTCTACATAAATAATTTTGTCATGGTTAGTTTAGGAAAGGAGAGCATAACTGGCAGGAGAAGAAGATACAGGGAAAGACTCTTTCGTCTCATATACAGTGTTTCCATGTCCTGACATCAGTGACATCAGTCAGTCAGGTTTCTGCCCGGCTCTTTAAAGGGGATGAGAGGAGCTGCCTTGACTGGACATAACTAAAGCCAGCCCTGACTCCACCTGGACTCCACCTGCTCACCATGTACTTCCCCCTACATGTGCGTGGCACAACGGAGCAGTGGTTAGCACTGTCGCCCCACAGCAAGAAGGTTCTAAGTTCAAGACTTTCTGTGCAGAGTCTGTATGTTCTCCCTGTGCCTGTATGGGTTCTCTTCAGGTACTCTGCCTTCCTCCCACAGTCCAAAGACATGCAGCTTAGGTTGACTGATGACTCTAAATTGCCCGTGAGTGTGAGTGTGTGTGTGTGGTATTCTGTGAGCATCAGCTCGGTGATGGACTGGTGACATGTCCATGGTGTACCCCACCTCTCGCCCAGTGTCAGCTGGGATTGGCTCCAGCACCCCTGCCACCCTATGGATGGATGAATGCGCCCACGTGCACCCTGCACCTGGAATTTACATGACTTTGCCCTATTTGAGGAAAATAGAATCCTGAGAGTCAAATTTATGATGCACTTGAGAAAAATTATATTTCATGTTTCCTTAATATCAAGAAAGTCTACTGTAAAATAGTAAAGGTGCATAGTGCTTTTAACCTCCAAGTGCTTCACAAAGGCTGGCCTGCCCACTGTGAGCGACTGTTGGTAGTGTCTTGCCATATGGGGACAGTGTCTGACTGTCTGATCTTTGTGTGCTAGATTTAATGTCTTTTGTATTATATGTTTAATGTGTTTGTGTTTAGCCCTCTCCACAGAGACATGGCAGAACCACTGTGTTACCAGCTCTTCTCTGATTGATCTGAAATGATATTGGCTATTAATCATGTAGATCACAACCACCTGAGTGATGAATTTGCTTGTATCTTGAGTTGCAATGCCTGGCGAAGATCTTTGTTATAGGGCGTCTGTATTATATAATCTTATCAGTCTTCACTGAGTGTAACAGCATAGCATGATTCAGTTGAAACAGTAACTTGTATCCACAGGAATAACATTTCCAAATTTTAGAAGCATCAGCTTGATTTTCTATTTCTTTCAAAATGTCACTTATAAAAATGTTCAACAAGTCAGTGTTTCTACCCACTGGGAAATCAATCTAGTACTTGGTGCAAACTTACTGCATTACTAACACTGCAAAGCTCTTACTACAGATAACTAACTTTCATTGTCTCTACACAGTCTCACCACCCAAGGACCTAACAGTGGTGGAGGTCACCCCAGAGACAGTGGACCTGTCCTGGGAGAATAAGATGCGTGTCTCCGAGTACCTGATCACCTACATACCCACGGCAGCAGGGGGTCTGGAACTGGACTTGCGGGTGCCTGGGGACCAGAAAGTGGCCACCATTAATGAGCTTGAACCTGGAATTGAGTACCTGATCAGTGTCTATGCTGTTCTCAACAACAAGAAGAGTGTCCCAGTCACTGCTAGGGTGGCAACACGTATGCAATTTCTCTTTATGATAATTTAAAAATGCAGCACAGGAATGTAGATCAAATGTAGTTAAAGGTTTTGCTCTATTCTACCCAGATCTTCCTGAGCCAGAGGGACTTAAGTTCAAATCAGTGCGGGAGACGTCTGTGGAGGTACAGTGGGACCCGCTGGATGTCCCCTTTGATGGCTGGAACCTTATCTTCAGAAACACAGTGAGTCCTGCTGCCCAGTATGTAAATGGAGTGTCTGTATTCCAGGAGGTGGTTGAATTCTAGGTCCTACCATCGCCTCTGCCATTATTATCATTATCCTCTGGTAGAAACTGTATTTGCTGTACTGAATTCTTCGTTTTTCAAATTCAGTAATTGCCTAATGTGCACACACAAGGATCAGGGAGAGTGTCCTGTGGGAAATGGTTTAGCCAAGCCAGAATGTAAAAACACAGCAGTTAAACCTGTTAGCATGTTATGATGGCTCCAGTGACCCCATACAGCACATAGCTAGTGTTACTTTGTTTAATGCTTTGTTTTGCTTTTTGAGTGGTCATAGAAACCTTTCCAAACAGTGCTACTGGATTCTACTCAAAGCCACACTCTGCGAAACAGATTCCCCTGTCAGCTCTTATGTCCAGACACCACCCAGAGCATCATTATGTGTGTTTAGTGACTCACACACACACACACACACACACACACCCACACACCCACACACACTAGTCAGGACTGTTGGGACTAGCGTCTGTAGTGGTTGATGACTGGTGTTTTGGTGCTGGCAGAAAGAGGAGGATGGAGAGATTCTTAACTCTCTCGGCCGTCCAGAGACCACCTTTGAGCAGTCGGGCCTGGGCCCCGGCCAGGAGTACGAGGTCAAGCTGGAGGTGGTGAAGAACAACAAGCGTGGGCCGCCTGCCTCCAAGAACGTTTTCACAAGTGAGTGTAGACATTCACGCTGCTAACTGGCTTTTGTTTTAAACTTACTGTACTGAATAGCTTTATTCCAGCAGTAGGCTCTCTGACTTAATCCCCTGGTGCCTTTTTGATGGTCTTCTAATAATGTATTTGATAATGTTTCAAATATTTATCAGCCCCATCAACTCAACCCGGATATTTTTTTGTCTTTGCCTTAATGTGAGGGTTGTAAAATAAAAAAAAGAAGAAGAAGAATCTAATAATGAGGTGAAAATGATTCACATAAACTATAAAAATTGTATTATACTTGTCTGTGCCAGGACTATATGGTTGAAATCTAATCTTGCTCTATATAGACCAAGTAAGTGGTGTCATTGTGTGTTGGCTCTGAAGTGAGGAAACCTATGGAGCTGCCTCTCAACTCACCGTCAGGCCACTTTATCCCTGCATGCCCTTTAGACCATAATTCGTCTATTACTGCAAGTAGGTTGCAATATCACTGAGTAGTGCACATGATATTATTTACATTACAATACATTTAAAATGATATTGTCATAACAAGTAGCCTAATGCCATAGTTTTGCCTGGACACAACATGTAGACATGTTGGCCCACTTTATGAATGGAATGAGATGGGGATGAGCTAGTGGAACAGATCTGACTGCTGGTCTGCTTTAAATACATCAATCCCAGTTTATCATTGTTGATCAGTTCTTCACTATTTATGACACAAACACAGGATTCTCACAAACATATTCATACAGTGGAGGAATAAATCCCAGACTGAGAAGCTAAATGCTAACAATTAAAGATACACTGTATAGCAAAAACCTTTTCAGATTTATTGTATCTATTGTGGTAAAAATTCAAGATAATAAGCCTAAAATCCCTTTCTAAGATTTTGAGTACTGCAGATTGAAGGCATGGGTCTTCCAGAATAGAGATTATTGTGAAATAAATTGTCACTTAGAGCTGTCAAAGTTAAATGCAAAACCTGACTGTCAACTCATACCTTGTGTAGCTTCCTTGGATTTTCTGTCTGGGTTATTCATCTCACAATCCACAGTTCAGTTATTGAAAACAGCCTGACATGTCAACCCTGACTGATTAGCTCATTAGATTTCATTACACTGTTGTGATTTTTTGTGACTGTGTTATAAAAAGAGAGATGGATTTCCAGCTCCATTGCCAAGTTATGACATACTGTATCTCCATAGCTCCATCTGACTATGAAGCCCAATGACTTGTAACACTGAGAAACTCAAGGCTCAATATAAAAAAGATCAATATAAAGAGGGACAACAGAGTTTTATGTGTGAGTTAATCTGCCAGACCAACCACCAACTACCAACTATTTTATGTGTCTTGATTGGGGTGCTGCTGAAACTTTTGCTGAATTTGTTAAATGTGTGTTTTCTTTAAAAGTGAGACTCTGTGACGAGCTGAAACTTAAACCTGGACTCAAACTGCCCTTGATTTTACCCCTAGGAGACTTTTGTTTCAGCAAGGTGCAGCATTGTTCACCAAATTCAACACAAATTTTAATAACTCACAGCTCCTTCTAGCATTGGGTCAGGGTACTTATTTATGGTGTGAAAATGGTCTGCAGTGTGGCAGAATAAACAGAAGGATGCAGGGAAATGCCATTAGAGGCCTGTCATATCCTTTTACTTTACAACTTTACAGTAAGAGCAGGGGCGGTAAATTACAGCAATATCTCTACATGGTAAATATGAAGCTGGAGCCGAGAGATGTCGAGCTCATCTTAGCATAAATACTCAAAGTAGAGAGCTTGTATCTTGTCTCGTCATTGTGAGACTGTTAGGCAACCAGGAAAGATAACCCCCCATTAAACCACAATGTCAACAAACACGATTTGACATGTTAATTAGCTTTAGAAGGTCTGATAGGTGTATTTTAATATAGTCATACAGAGCCAGGGTAACTCTGGTAATACCCTGGTAATAAGCCAGGGGCAATCCCCTATTTCCAGTGTTTATGCTAAGCTAGGCTAGTTATCTCCTGTCTCCAGCTCCACAATAAACAGTTGGATATAAGAGTGATTGATTGTCTCATCTATCCAAAGTCTTAAACTGAATGTTCACCTCACCTGGCTACTGGTGCTGTGGCTCTGGTAATCATAGTGGCTGTCAGTGGGTCCAACACTTTGGTCTACACTGAAATATCTTATTTTTCATTTGCATGAAATTCTTTCTTTGTGTTTTTGACCAACAGTCCATGTGTTTGGAATAAACTTTGTATAATGTCTCCCATTACACCAGGCTGCGACACGGACTATGGGATTTGCATGTTGAGGGGCTAATTGTGTTGCTCCGATCCTGTTCTCTTTCTCCTCCCCCTCCAACCAACCCACCATGTGTGGGAGGCCCTAGTCATTCAACAGTCAGGCTCAGAGGACACTGCCCTCCCAAGAGAATGGTATTGTGACACCTGAACGTCACACTGGCAGCCCCCTGGGAAGACAAATCTATGTTAAGTGCCAGTAAAAAAGTGCCTTTCATGGGCACAAAGATTTTGTTTGTATACAGTTTGAATAACCTCATAAATGCAAGAGAGCTGTCACATTTTTCATCACCTTTATTGCTATATTGACTGTATCTGTGCATATAATACTCTATGTTTATGCTTCCACCTCACACCAACCCTCCTGATTTAACCTACCATCATGGTCTATGATCAGGATCAGGGTTCACTAGAGCAAGGTAAAGCATGGTAATATAACCATGATAAAAATATATATTTAATCCTGCATAGTAGAGCTGGAAACATACAGTTTCATTAAATGTAATGTACTTAGTCACTAACCTCTCAACTAAACGTTATCATACAGATATTTCCATTTTTTTACATCCACTTTAGGTGAACTGTAATGTCAGGTACAGTCAGTCACAAAAATATTGGCAACCCCGCATTTTTGTCAGATAACACAACACTTCTCCCAGAAAATTGTTGCAATCACAATTTCTTTGGTATACTTATGTTTATTTCTTCTGTTTGCTTTGGAACAACACAACAAAACAGGAAAAAACCCAAATCCACTATTATGGTTCTGAAATCCTCATTCTGTTCTTTGCTCTTCTTTTTTTTCTCCATGCTCAGTGTGGTCCACATGACGCAAAGATTGAGTCGACTTTTCTCCATTTTAACTGGTTGCCAGTGTGATTTCTATGTTGCCAGTACCTGTCGGTTACTACAGGAGAGTTTCATTACAAATTAAAGGAGCATCACATTCTGGAAATACAACTATTTCTGATGAGTTTGAAAAGGTTTCAGTAATTGTGTCCAGTCCATTTTTTAAGTTCTGTGTGGAATGGATCAGATTTGAAATTTTCCTCTGCTTTTTGTGTTTTTGCAGTGCAAACAGAAGAAATAAACATGAGAATACCATAGAATTTGTGATTGCAACAGTTTTTTGGGAGAGGTGGTGTGATATCTAATCGAAATGCGGGGGTGCCAGTATTTTTGTCCATGACTGTATTACTCTATGTGGATTTGATTCTTTTTTTCACACTATGTAATGCATCCAGCAGATTTATTCAGCTAATTCTGGAGGTTGTCTTGATACTATTTAAACTACAACAGCAGATACTCATGGGTAACTGTGAAAGTGTGCTTAGATAGAACGCCTGGAGAGTTTCCATTTTGCTAATTTGTCTGTTGAACTGTTTGTACAAAAATTACAATAATATATTGCAACAGCTACATTTATTAATGGCAGTGCAGATGGCTGGGGTGGATGGCAGGTGTGCAAAGCTTACAACTTTCACACCAGAGATTATGGTTTGCATCCAGACTCCTGTTTGTGCTTGGGTTTAGGCAACAAAAGCGCTTTAAGTTTAAGGCAAAATATTATAGTTTTGGTTCAATGAAAATAAACACAGTGTCTGAAGTCCACATGTATTGTATATGCAAATACAAGAAAATGAATTTGCTAGTAAGCTTCACTGTGTTACCCTTTACCTCTCTAGTGATTGACGCCCCCAGTCAGGTGGATGTGCGTGATGTTACCGACACCACAGCACTCATGACCTGGTTCCAGCCCGTGGCTGAGGTGGACAAAGTCAGCATCTCCTATGGGCCCAGCTCCAGCCCTGCTGACCGCAAGATAGTGGAGCTCTCCTCCACTGACACCCAGTACCATGTGGGAGGCCTGACCCCTGACACCCAGTATGAAGTGTCCCTGACAGCTCACAAGGGAGAAAGGACCAGTATTCCTGTCCATGAGTCTTTCCTCACAGGTACTACCAGCAATTTGCTGTGCTGTGTTTTCAGACAAAAACTTTGTTGATGAAACTCATTCAGCTATTATCTGTTGCCTATAGTTAAGCTGAATGACCTGCTGTTCTTTACGTGTCTCACTTGGAGGTACTGCATCACTCATGCTTTATTTATCGCTTTATGTTTACAAGGAAAGACATCCTCTTGATGTGTGTATATGGATCTGTGTGTTCCTTGAAGGACCAAATGTCCTCCTGAGTATATAATAATGAGGAAAGTCCCCCAATATCACCCTTGGCTTGTTTAAGAAACTACTTAAGGTTTGATCTAGATTCAAAATACCATCTAAAGTCCAGTTCTGTGTGGTAGACCTGGATGCCCCCAGAGACTTGCAGGCAGTGGAACTGACAGATGAAAGCATCACTCTTGAATGGAAGAACAGCCAAGCTCAGGTGGACACCTATCGCATCAAGTACGGGCCTCTGTCTGGAGGCGAGCACAGAGAGCTGCTCTTCCCCCGAGGACCCAAGGACACCACTCAGGCCAAGATCACCGGTACGCAAAATCACACACTTGTACAAACACAAAAATCCATCCAGTTTAACATCACCACTATCTATGTGCAAGATCCAGACACACACACGGTGCTATGCATAGGGTCCCCAAGTAGAATAAGCTTAACTCAAGGTCCACTTATCTCTATTACTAACTAGTTTTTCTCTAACTTTCAATGCATCATCAGTGCACAGAGTTTGCTTAGTTTTCAAATATGTATGTACTGTTGTGAAAAATCTATTTGGATAATGGTTGTTCTTCAATAAAGTAAGGGAACGTACAATTTAATCCTGGAGTCATAATAGTTAAGGAAAAGATATTTTTTCCACCTGGCAACCCAAAAGAACAAATAAATTATTTATTATTGAAGCCAGTAGTTACAATTTCTAAATCCTTATTAAAGGACATCTTAATAGAAAGTGGTGCCAGGGTTTTTTCACAACATTGTGACCCTGAACTTGGCCTTATTAATGGCTTATAACTGATATATAAAAACCATTAGGTTTAACCATACTGGCGGCATTTCACTGGCTTTAGCCAAATCTGCTATTCGGTGCAGCTTGTGTCTGCTGTAAAAAACGCAAAGCTTACAGATGCAGTAAAAAAGTATATAGTATTAGCCAATAGTAATCTTTATTAGGAAGTACCAAAATATCTTGTTTTCATTAGAGGAGCAAAATGTATGTTATGTGTAATACTGGTGTGTTTCTGGGTTCCAAAGCGTGAGGGATTTTCCACTAATTAAGAGTTTAATTTATTTTGGACCCTGCACCCACTCACCATGTCATTGCGCACTGTACTAGTACTGATGGCTGCTACAGTACAAAACAACCATGCCCTGCTCAGTAAAACAAATGGCCTGTTTCATTGCTTACATACTTTGTTTTCAATCCTTTGTCTGCTTTGCATCCAAATTACACATCTGAAAAGCCTCTGTAGAAAAAAAATACAGTGTGAAGTGTTTATTCTACTAATTCTTTGGGCAAATGTTTGTGGTGCTCTGTGATAAGTGGTCAGTGTTACGTTCAGTCTGCTCATTTCCAAAACAGGGTTGTCTTTGTTTTGTGAAATGTCCATAAAAGGCCCACTTTATTAGAAATCCACCCAGGGGGGTTTGGCATTCAGACTTTAAATGGAATAACACTGCCGCTTGATTCATTGGGAGTTCTTACTAAAATAAGACAAGCAGGCACGTTTTCATTTATCTGTACTGCTGACATTTTAAAGCCATGTTTTGAGGTGGGTGGGTGTGATATCCCACCTTTTTTTCCATCACTGTCTAACGCTGCGCACAGTGGATTAGACACCATGAGAAATAAAAAACAACAAAAAAGCTTCCAAAAACAGGCTCATAGTGTCTTTGTGTGGCCCAGTTCTTTGTCCATAGAGGCCCATCCCATGGAAATAAAGAACTGTGTCCATTCAGCTGATATCCCCCTCCACTCCACACACACCTCAGCACTTCTTTCACACACAGTTATTATCAGTAATTGCCTTCACGCTTGTGATTTTATTGATAATGAGTTCCTGGGCATTAGGTGTAATTTCATGCTGCAAGACTCTGTGTGATGACCTCTGTAGGAGTTAATAAAGGAATTAGAGGCGATCAGGCCAAGAGAAGGCTTAATTGTAGAGAGCAAAGGGCCACCAGTGCCTGCTGTATCATAGCAAGTAGTGTTTCTGCTCTGCAACAAGGGCCCCATAGTTCCACCAATGCAAATACAACACAAGCGAGCACAGGCTTACCATGAAACGTAATTAGGCTGCAGTCTATTGTGCAGTCAAGCCACATGAGAACGTTTTTGTGTTTGCCATATAGGCATTGCTGAAACAGCTGGCCACTTGACTAAGGAGCCTCCTCATCGTTCATTTAGCGACACCTCAGTGGATTGGTACAAACAAAACACAATGTTGCTTTTAATTTCTGTATCACAATGTTTTTATTTTGCCCTATTATGTAGGCCTGAGACCTGGCACAGAGTACGGGATGGGTGTCACAGCAGTGAAAGATGAGCGGGAGAGTCTGCCTATGACCACCAACGCAGTGACCGGTGAGATGCTCTCACAGCATTCAACTGTGTGCAAATATGTATACATATATCCATATGCATACATGCACCTTACAGAGGGGGCGGCTGTGGCTTAGGAGGTAGGGCAGCTCATTTTCTAACTGGAGGATCAGCGGTTCGGTACCCGGCATGTCCAGTCAATAAGTCGAAGTGTCCTTGAGCAAGACACTGAACCCCCTAGTTGCTTGCGGTGATAACACCGGTGTGTTAGTGCGAATGGGTGAATGGCCAAGTAGTGTGAAAGTGCTTTGAGTGTGCTGTAAAGTGTAGAATTGTGCTATACAAGTATAAGACCATTTACCTTTTATATGTACACAACAATGCATGGACATACAGCTGTACATAGATATACACTGTTCTGCATTTTATGGTCCAGAGGGTTTAACCTTCTGCTCATGGGCTACAGCCAACAATTTCATATGGCCCTGCACATATTTAGGATTTATTATTATTCAACCTGACCATTTTAAATGATGGCTTTGTATTTATTATCCACATGTTTTAAGAAAATCAGGACTGGTAATTTTTTGTTCTAGCAAGGTTTAAAAACTAATGTATTATGTTTTTGTCATAATTAAGTAAAATGAAAATGCTTCAACATACCAGGAAACAGGACAGACTACTGTGGTCAAATGAGCAATTATTAGGCCTTTGATATGTGTCTATTTATGCAATTATGGTACAGCCATCACACACCGTGCATGTAAAGAGTCTGACTGAAACAAGTTGTACAAAGTTAACTGCAACAAACCGCAATGCTTCCTACGTAGATATCTATTATAGAAATGATGTATTCTGTTAGGTTATTTCTTAGTTAGATAGATATTTAGAGATTTGTTGTCTAGGAATGTTTAGTGCAGACAGGGTGACTGGCTTAGGCTGTTAACTATTCAGCCTGCAGTGCAGACTGCAGGCACGTCAAGGTTACAGGAAAAGAGCTGTTAGTGTCAACTGTAATGCTAGTCTTAATATTTGTCTTAATGTGTAAGGTTATGTCCAATTGTTTTAGATACACACCACGAAAACAACAGTCACGCACCTTGACTTTTCCTCATGTTTTGGCTAAACGATAGAGCAGCTGCAAAGCTTGCTTATCGGGTGACGTCACGGTTCGACAGCCCAGAAAGGATTAATATTGTATAGCAATGCTTGGTTCGGGGGCTTTTTGGTTTCCGGGCTGCTTGGGCAGCCTGGGGTTGGAAGATCTCTGGACTTGAAGTGTTAAAATCTTGCCTGTGACTTTTTGAATAAACCAGCACGGTTATATTTTTTATATACTCAAGTGGTCTGAGTCGTCCCTCGGAGTTCCTGGTTTGAAAGAACCGGATGAGGCTTTATAATGGTTCTCAGCCTTTAATTCTTAAAAATGTAATGTCACCAGAAATGTTCTAATGTCTAAAATGGATAAACAACCAAATCCAAGCAGTGGCTGACTTATACTGTAAAGAAGAATGTTTAATCAGAATGTAATGTGACCATACCTTTAGTCTCAAATGTGTGCTTGCATGCTTTTGACCGGTGAATCTAACGCTCTGCCAAATGACCTCACCACAAATCTGATCAGTTTTTCTGCCTTCCTTATTACTATTGTTGTAAATCTTGAATATAGCACTGCTGCTAAGATTTTATTTTATTTCATTTGAATATGTTTTTGTTATTTTGTCACCTAGTGTTTAGCTAATATGAAAAATATGGTCCTGTTTTCTTGGACTGTGCAGCTACTGTGGCATGTTATTCTATAGTAAACATTTCTTCATAACCTGTTTTCTACCTCTTTAATTAGCTCTGGATGGTCCCAAAGACCTGACTGTTGCAGAGGTGACTGAGACCACTATGGTGCTGGAGTGGAAGCGCCCCCAGGCCAAACTGGACTCCTACAGACTGGTCTACATTTCTGCTGATGGTCACAGAGCTGAGGACGTTTTCCCAGGCAGCATAGAGTCTTATACTCTGAAAGGCCTGACACCTGGTATGCTATACACCATCAACATGACTGCAGAGAGGGGCCGCAGGACCAGTGCGCCGGCTACACTGTCAGCACCTACAGGTCAGCAGTACAAACAAATACACCCTCCATCTTCAAAAGCAATTTTTCCAACTAGGCTGTAGTGCCTTGTTTGACATTACAATGTCTGAATAGCTGTGAGGTAACAGTGGAGGACAATGGGAATCTTGGACGTTTACAGTTATTCTGTTGGTATTTTTTTTCACATGAGAATACCGACATGGCAGTTAACTCACTCTGTTTTATAACCCAGATAAGACTACTGTCAAATGGCTAATTTTTGAACATTTAAAGGGTTGATTCATCCAAACCACAAACCTTAGTTCTTACTTACAATACTCCAAGTGGTAGCCATACAAATAGGAGAACTACTGATAAGTTTTAACAAGGACAGAGGTTGCAGTTTAATTCTTAAAACGGCACAAATATCTTCACATGAATCACATTACTACATATAACCAATACTGCCTGTATGGCTAGAAACTTCTAGAACTAAGTGACACTTTGTTTTGACCCTTTGGAGAAACTAAGTAAGGTAAAGTAAGTGGGTAAAAGAAATAAAGAAAATTTAATTTTGCCTTTGACTGCTTTAGTAGTCAGGCTGAGACTAAACATGCAGGATATTCAGTATCTGTAACATATGTCCAAGACAAAGGTTCCACTGAGAATAAGAACTCATTAGCCATAGGTTCATGTTTCTGGACCAAATCCAAACCGCAGCGATGAATTGAATTCATTGTTAGCTTCTCTGCCCTGTCTTTTCATTTACAGCATGAGATTGTTTTTCTTTTCTTCCCAATTTTTTCTTAAACAAAACACTAAAAGCCAAATGGGGTGACTGTGGCATATTTTTCATGCTGCGATCAGGTTGCCTCCAAGCCAAACATGTCACAAGTAAATTATCCAGTTATGCAACGAGCGTCCGTAAAAGCTCTGCTACAGGTAAAAATCAATGCGGCATCAGGGGAAGTTGGTGAACTTGAGAATAATTGTCTTCTTTGCTTTTTCGGGAGGCAGGGTTGCATGCTGCTAAGAAAGACTGCATACAGACTTCTGTGGGTATGTGTGTACACGCACATGCCCGTGTGTGTATGTGTGGATGTGGGACAGCGAATGTGCATCTACTCTTTATGTCCACTTATCTGTGCGCTCATGTGTGGCACGTATGACTGAGAGACTGAGTGGCTAAAAGGACTGAGATAGTGTGAACATTTGGGTGCGCATGCATGTGCATGTGTGGGAGGCTGGGGATTTGTATGGACATTTGTGTGCCCTGCACACTGTTCATTCATGTGATAATTGATGGCGTGAGCCTAGCTGCCCTCTGGTTTTGTGCGATTTGACCACGATGAACTGTGGGTCTGTCAGATAAAAGGCCACATGCTGAGACTCCTGTTAAAACATTGTCTCAGAAAGCAGCAGTGCTCTAATCCACAGCTCAGCTGATATGCAGCCTTTATTGTCTCCAGTCATGTAGCACAAACACAGATCGCACTCATTTTATAGAAGGGATAGAAAAAAAAGGCTGGTAAAGTGAGGTGAGATAAGATTTGGAGGGAGGCCGTGGGTTCTGCTTGTGTCTGACAATCATCAAAACACTCGTGTCATCTAAAAAAACTGTGACCACAAACTGTGTAAATCATTTTGGGTGTCTTATATCATATGATGGTAGTGAATGAGTATGGCAGCAAATCATTGGTATAATAATTTGAATTATACCAGCAAATAAGTTTGAAATGTAATCATTAATCAACACTTTGTTGAGAATGTAAATGCTGCTGAATTTATTGCACAGAAATATTTGACTATGAGAACCACCGTCTGCTCACATTCCTATTGTCTGCCATTCCGTTTGCTTTGTAAACTGAAAAGATGATAATGGGAGCCTTGATGTTTAACTATGCCTTTCTAATCTACTGTCTGAATGCTTCCATACACAATAGACTCCAATTATTGTCTGATGCACATGACTCTGCATGGCCTCCCTATAGGTTTGAAGTGAACAGTGTACTTCTGCCATACTAGCCGCATCTTCAAATGTTAATGGCTTATTCACAGCCATTAATGTGCGCAAACTGCATCAGCATATCTGGCTGCCACTTTCTATCGCTACAGTAAGCCTTCCCACTTATATGGTAATAGAGAAGAGATGCTATAGGCCACCACTGATAATGAGACTGTTCCCTCTCGTATTTCGAAGTGGAAATAAGGGAACATTTACACTCCAGACAAAGTAAAGGCCATTTCTCTTTTTCCTCTTGACACCAAAATGAAATGTCTGAAGTACAAATGAGAGCTCATCAGTGATGACCACTTTATTTGCAGCTGATATTGTCAAGACTGATTCACCTGTTCATAAGCACAAGCTCCGTCCTGTTTGTTTTATGTATCACAATGTAAATTGTTGTCAATAAGAATGTTTCAGATATCCAAGAATCTTCTGCTTGTGTGTATGTGTGTTGTAAGGTTGGATTGATATAAATAACAAATTTTGGATTTTTAAAATGTTTGAAATATGCAGTCAGTCCAAACATCCAGTATCGGCTTTAAAACCTGTACTGGCCTAACCTTTTTTGATGATCTTGTATGTGTGTCCCAGTCCTGTAACTGCATGTTGATGTGTTTGTCATCACCCAGAGGAGGAGAAACCTGTGGTGACCAGCTTCACAGTCAGCGATGTGTCATGGGACAGCTTCTTCCTGTCCTGGTCTGCTGAGGATGGGGCATTTGAGGCCTTTCTGATCGAGGTTACCAATGCAGAGACGGGGACTGAGTGGCAAAACCACACAGTGCCCGCCAATGCTCGCAGCCTCACCATCTCTGGCCTCTCCCCCACCACCCGGTACAGGGCTACTTTGTACGGGGTGTACAGGGGGGCTGTCTTAGACCCCGTCTTTACAGAAACCATCACAGGTATTAATGCCAACAATGCTCGGGCCTACCTCTCTCCATTGCTTCTTTCTTCTTCTGCTCACACAATGAATTAACCACTGATTTTCCATGTGGACAATCCAGCTACTAGTTACTTACAGTTGTCAAATGATATCTACTCACAGAAGTCTGGTGTGGCTGTTCAGCACTGTCTTCAAGCGTTAAGTTGACTCAGGTGTTATAGAGACACTTATTTGTGTTCATTTTGCTGTCGATTTTTCCAAACACTTTAAAAAAATGTCATTCCTAGTAAGCTGTTTTGACAAATCCACCACTTTAATTGGCTTCAACTAAGGTTCAACTAATTTTAAAATTATTGTAGAAAAAAAGCATTCCAGCAAAAGCAAAATCTCAAAGTGAGCCTGGCATTTGTTATTGCAATCAGAAAGAATATGAAATGATAACTCTTTGTGAATGAAGCTGTACCTGTGGAAATGGAGAATTGTTTTGTTCTTCCCATCACCACAACAAAAGGTATTTTGTTGTGGTGATGCTTTATACCTTACCTTATAAGCATTTGTTCAGGGTAGAAGGTCAAAATACCCAGTTTTGTGTTAGTTTACTATTTTAATGTCAGCATCTATTCCAGCATTATTATTCAGCATTTCACTGATGAGGATCAGTCAAGTGGAAGAAAGATGGGAAGACTGACAGAGGAAAAAGAAAACCCTGAGGCGCTTTTGTCACTTTGTGTGAGGCCTCTCTTC